CCTCAGGTCTGGAGGTGGCTGATGAGGAAGAGGAACAGCTGGGACCAGTGCCTGACGCATGGATGCGCAGAAGGCATCCGCATCCCGTTTTCAGCCTCCGTACGCCTCATTTTCAGCCTCCACACACCCCATTTTCCACCCGTTCCGGGCGACAGGGATTGGAATGGGTGGAAAATGGGGCACACAGAGGCCTAAACTGGGCGCATGGAGGTGGCAATAGAAAATGGCAATCCCTGCAGCCTGAAACAGCTAGTGGTTGGGAGGCCAATCCAACCAACAATCAGCTGCTTGTGCTAATCAAGCTGTGCTGAAGCTGAAACTGAAACAAGCTGTTTGCTGTTTGCTGCAAGGAGGCAATTTGCTGAAAGGCAGAGGCCAAAGGGCTGGCTGGTAAGCAGGACTACATTCAATGTATATGACACAGCCAAATTTTCACCCTCTTTTATGGGGGAAAACGTGTGTCTTATACTCCGAAAAATATGGTATATAGCACGTGAAGGATGTGTGCTTGTGTTTTTATTTTTATAGTTATAATGTACACTGAAGATGGCATTTAATTTTGCTCTACAGTGTGCAATGACAATAAAGTAAAGTAAACTAAACTAAATGTGAGAAATGGTCATAAGTCACTTTTTTCAGTGCTTTTGTTAACTTCAAACGGTCACGAAACAAATGGTTGCAACTCGAGGACTTTGTAAGGTCTCTCGGATAACAAGAAAAAAGACACACGGTCAAATCATATCTAGGAAAGTGTAATTCCTCAAGTTGCAAAACAAAAAGAGTTTGGATGGAAACTAAGGAGAGAACCAACCTAGAACTAAGAAGAAATTCCTTAAACAATTCATTAGGGGGGCGGGTTGCCTCCAGAAGTTGCGGGTACGCCAACACAGGAGTTTTAAAGAAGAGTTTGAACAGCTATTTGTCCAGAATGGTACAGGGCACAGGCAGTGGTGTGGTTCAAACATTTTTACTGCTGGTTCTGTGGGCGTGGCTTGGAAGGCATTGCCTGAAGGTGGGTGTGGCTTGGTGGGTGTGGCAGGGGAAGGATACTGTAAAATCTCCATTCCCTCCCCACTCCAAGGGAAGGTTACTGCAAAATCCCCATTTCTTCCAATCAGCTGAGACTCGTGAAGCAGAGAATAGATGGGGGCAGGGCCAGCCAGAGGTGGTATTTATCGGTTCTCCGAACTACTCAAAATTTCCGCTACCGGTTCTCTGAACTGATCAGAACCTGATGAATACCATCTCTGGTCACAGGTGTCAAACTCAAGGCCCGTAAACTGGATCTGGCCCACAGGATGCTTAGATCTGGCCCATGGGGCTGCCCTGGAAATAGCAAAGGACCAGCCCATGAAACAAAGCTCCCTTTTCGCTGGCAGAGGGCTGCATGAGGCCATCACAGTCAAAAATGGAGCTCAGAAGGGGAGGGGTTCGCTGACAGAGGGCTGCAGGAGACCGTCACAGAACAGCCGGAAAAAAATCGAGCTGGCCACCCCCACCTTGGCCACGGCCACCCCCAGTCCTCTGAGGTCAAACACAACCCTGATACAGCCCTCAATGAAATCAAGTTTGACACGCCTGGTATAGGGTCTCCTGCTTGAGCAGGGGGGATGAACTAGAAGACCTCCAAGGTCCCTTCCAACTCTTATTATAGGTAGTCCTCAACTTACAATCCCAATTGAGACCAAACTTTTTGGTGCCAACGGAAATCACTTTGGGCAATGTTGTCCCATTTTCCGATCTTGCCATAGTTGTTAAGTCAATCGCCACAGATTTTTTTTCCCCCAGCGCTGTCATCACTTTGTTGCAACAGTCACTAAATGAACTGTTGTAAGTCGAGGACTGCCTGTATTCTGTAAACTCTGCCTGCCCCCATTGGTTTCTTTTCCACCAAAACCCGAAGAACGCATCTTCTCTTACCTTCAATAGAACACTTCTCAGCTCGGCATCCGCAGTTATATTGGAATATATGTCACCATCTAAATTGATGATGGATCCCAGCGGCGTGTTTTCCTTGGTTACCACCAGCCGTTCAGAAGCATTGCAACACTGACCTAGCTCTTTCCTGAAAGAAGGCATCAGCGGGGGTTAACTTGCAAAGGGAACATCCAGGGGCATTGTGTGGAAGCTTCATCATTGGAGGCTTTCAAGAAGAGACTGGACTGCCATCTGTCAAATATAGTGTACGGTCTCCTGCTTAGGTGGGTGTAGGGATTTGGACCAGATGACCTACAAGGTCCCTTCCAACTCTGTTAATCTATCTGTCTAGAATAGGCAAAAAAGTCAATGCAATTCTAAATTGCACTAACGGGGGAATAGGAATAGCATAAAATAGAATAAAATAGAGTATAGAGAAGAGTAGAGTAGAGTAGAGTAAAGTAGAGTAGTATAGGAAAGGGAATAGAATAGGAAAGAGAGTAGAGTAGAGTAGAGTAGCATAGAACAGAAACGAAACAGAAAAGAATAGGAAAAGGAATAGAATAGGAAATCGAATAGAAAAGAATAGAGTAGATAGAGTAGAGTAGAGTAGAGTAGATTAGTATAGGAAAGGGAATAGAATAGAATANCTTAACAGTCTTGTGATTCACTTACAACTGTAGCGATTCAGTGAACAGCTGTGGCAAAAAGGTCATAAAATCGGGCATATCATGCTTCCAACTGCCTTGCTTAGCAATAGAAATTATGATCTCAACTGTGGTCACATGTCAAGGGCCACCTGCATATATTAGCGTTGTAAATATAAAACATAATAATAATCCTAATGCATCAGATTGCAATCAGATAATGCACATTGTAATCCAGAATTTTGTTTTCCTTAATGGCCAACCAAATCTCTCTTGTGTGCTCACAAACAGGTTGACGGAAGTATATTATCCTACAGCTGTTCTAATGCAACTGGTATTTAAAGTCATACTGCAGTGAATCCAGCAATAACATTCACCTTTTAAGACCAACACCCCTTGACTGACATCCTACATGTTGCAAAGCATAGAAAAATAGTAAATATTAGAGAAAAAATATTTAAGAAAAAGAAGATGGAGGCTAGTAATACGTTTAAACCACAGCACTCTCTGCATCATGTTTTTCTGCCCTTGAAAATGATTGTTGCTTCCATCACATCAATTTACCAAGTTATACAATTTGTTCTGTTTTTTTTTAAATCTTGTCATTCTGCTGTCATCAATGCATTCAAACCCAGCATTTTGGATCTCCTCCTGCAGCCCAATTCATTCTTCCTTCATGTATTTTTCATTTGAACTTGTTCTCTGTGTATGACCAAAATCACCTTTCATATAGGCCCCTCATTTTTCTATTAAATTCACCTTCAGTTATCTATTTAGTCTTCATCTTATCACTTTTTTTTCACCCCCCCCCCCCAGTTCTAAAGTAATCTGTTTCAAATGGCTACATTTTTATATTTCTGATACATCCAACTCTTTCATCCTCACAATAAGTCGGCTGAAGTGCATCCTTACACAAACATTGCTTACTAATTTCTTTCATTGCTCCCAAGAGGAATGAAACTTACGCCACTTACTAATTCACTACTTCTTAATCAATATTTTTGCATTTTAAAATTTCTTCATCTCTTTCCCCATGTTATTAGTATATACAAATTCAACTACTCTAGTTTTTTGCCGTTTATATTTAACCTGCAATTGTTCATTCCATCTTCCTCTCAAACTAAGTACTTTGATGCTTGGTAGATTTAATTTTCAGCTCTGTACCCTCAGTGCCTTGTGAAATGTAACTTTCCCTGAAAATAATTTCATTTGTCTGCCAACAACACAGCATTTTCTAAATGAAAAATATGGAATCAGGTCTTTTAATCTCTGACACTGAAGAGTTAAAGGGATCCATAAAACATTTTCCTCCAAATAAAAAGCAACAATGAAGCAAATAGGAATCATTTATTAAATGATTGAAATATTTTAGTTTTAAGATTTTAATATATGGGATGACATTATTACATCCAAGAGTTTATTGAACAGCAAAATTCCAAAGAAGAAAAGCAAAAACGCAATAAGAAGAAATATTAAGCCATACACTAAATAACTAATCATTCTCTAATGGCATCTAATTTTCTTTTACCTATTTATAGGTCTAGCTATGAACATCTCACAGTATTAAGCATTAATAAGCCTGTTCCCTTTGGTATTTTTTATATTACAACAGATTACCACCTTTTAAAATTTTAGACAGAAATTGAAACTGCTACAATTGTAAAATGTCTTCTGTTATCCTTAGATGCCATTATGTACATTACATCATTATTTATTTCATTATTACTTTTAATCTTATGCTAGCTGGCCAGAATTGCTTTTGCAAGATGTGTGACCATATAAAATATGAATGATGATAAGAATGATGATGAGAAGGAGGAGAAGAAAAAGGAGGAGTGGGCAGGAGAATGGTGATGATTATAGCAATAACACTTAGACATATAATACTTCACAGTGCTTACTGTCCTTTCTCAGCAGTTTACAGAGTCAGCATATTGCCCCCAACAATCTGGGTCCTCATTTCACTACTCACTCTCACTCGACGCCTCTTCACCCAATGTGGGTATAGGCGACTTCCATGGAAAGTTATGGCGATCCATGGAAGCTGTTTCGGCTGGATATACCCAAGGGGACGCC